CAAAATTTAAGTGATTATGGCTTTTCCAAAATAAAGTAGAATTTATATTTAAAAAACATTTATAAGTCTTTTAGAAATTCTATGATTAAGATTTTGTGGATCTATAAAAGTAGTTGTGTTAAATATATATCATTAATTTATACTTAATTATATGATTAAATAAAATATTGATAGAATTGAAGTGTGTGATGTATATAATTTAAATTATATACATCTAAATTTAAATTAATATTTAATCTTGAAACATATTAAGTAGAGATCATAATTTATGATTTTAAAAGAAATTCAAATGAGAATCAAGTAAAATAATGTTAAAAATATTAAGTAAAAACCATTGTATTGGTTTAAGAAGTATTAGTAGAATCCATATCTATAAGCATAAAGCACACTTAGTTATCTTAGAGATGTATAAAAAGTATGTAAATTACCTTAAAAATAATCTAAGTAAAGCCATCTAAGGATTAGGTATGTAGTAGAAATAATTTAATCTAAATTTTAAAAAAGTAAAAATTAACTAACTAGAGTATTTTTAAAGAATTACACATGTTAAGACACTTGTTTTTAAACACCTCAAGAATTTCTTATTTATTACAAGAACTTCAAGGTAAGTTTAAATATTTTTTTCAATTAACGGCCTAATGCATTCTTAGGCTACATTTTATATAATACATGTTTGATAAATCAAATGTAAAAAATTAAGGTAGAAAGTATTGTATTTTGTTTTGTTTTTGTTTTTTAACTATAATAAAGTAGATAGAACTATGATTAAAATTAAAAGTGGACCTATCAGTGGAAGTACTTCTAAAGTGCAAGCCAAGCATTTTGATTCTAATTCCATAAGCATATTTAAAGCATTTGCTTTGTTTATGCAAAAACAACAAAGAAAATATTAGAATAAAGGTATGGCAAAAAAAAAAACCTTACAAGCTATTTTAAACAAGATTGATCAATTTTAAGGTTAAAACAATAAAAAATATTTAAAATATTATATAATAAAAAAGAATTGAAGAATGTTTTTATGAAGAAAATGATTTAATTACTTAAACTTTCTACTACTCTAAAGATAAAGAAATATATAAAATCTTTTACTTTTGCTTATAATGTTATTTGTAAAATAATAATTTTTAATTAAGAAAAATTAATACTTCAATACAAGATTATTAAATTTACAATAAATTATAGCAAGTATTTCCAAAAAAAATAATTTAAACTTCCAAAAATAATATTCTATACGTGGATCTATATAAGTATATATACATAATATATATATATATATATATATATATATATATATATATATATATATATTTTATTTATTGTGTTATATTTGAGATGATGTAAAGGATATCGAAACACATCAAATTTTTAACATCTAAAAAAATATTATATGCCTAATTAAAATTAGTATTCATAAATTTTCTTTAGACAAAATATAGAGGTTTTTATAAATACATTACTTTAATTACACCTATAAACAAATAAATTAAAAAATTAGACATTATATTTAATTTTAAAATTATAATGTATATTTTTTACAATAAATATCTTTTTAATATCATAGATAAAAAAATTATAGAAATAAAATAATAATTGTGCTATTTAACTATATTATATGAAATTTTAAAAGTATAAAAATAGAATAAAAAATATACTATAAATTATTAAATTATTTATGATTTATGCATGATTGATTTTTTCTACTTATGGAAAATATATATATAATTTATATTTTAAAATGAAATATAAAAAAATCTTATTGAGTTTTATTAAAACCCTCTCATGTAATAATTAATTTTTTTCACAAATATTTTTTACCTATAATATCTCAATATTTTATCATGGTCACTTTTAAATTATGTTAAAATAATTTTATAAAAAATGAAGTATCTGTATTTTTAAAAATTAAAATATTTACTTAAAATTAATATTTATTGTTTTACATTTTTAGATAACTATTAATTTTATATTTCATCAAATTCTTTTAAAATGCACAAAAATAAATGAAGATTTTTGTCTTAATATGTATAACTAAAAAATATTTATAATAAATTAATTTTTCTCTTATCATCTATCTAAATCCTATTTTTTGAATGACAAATAAATTATATCTTATAATAATATTCTTATGATTTTTTTTATTTTTTATTTCATCTTATTTGTGTCAAAACTAAAAATTTGGCTATTAGGATAATATGGATTATCCTACTAGAATAATCTTTTGAATAAAAATAAAATACTTAGTTCAATTTATTGTAAAAAGGATTATATTTATTTTTTCTTATTTTTTTGTTACATTTATGAAATACTATATAAATATATCTCAAATCTACTAGGCTTGGCAAGAATTAAAATTTAGCAACAATTTTTATTTTATTTTATTCTTCATTAGTTGATTTGATAATTGGAATCACTTATAAGTCTCTTAATTAATTCTTAACTAGCAAAAAATGATTTTGGTAAAGGAGTGTTTTATATTATTAGATTTATTCTAAATATAACCTTAAAATATTATATTATTATTAGATGCAATAAATATTATAATAATAATACTACTAATTGTATTTGGCATATATGATTAAGTTATGTCATTTTCTAAATGTTGGACATGAATAAAATCCCACACCTACCATTCAGCAAGTTTATCAATAGTATTGTAAATTTGCAATCATAATATACATTAAAAGAAGTGTAGTCTAAGTATAGTATTGATTTTATACAAATTTTGCATGCTGTAGTATCTAAATGATAAGAGATGGATAAAATATTTAAAACAAAATATTGATATTACATAGTATAAAACATGATTTTTAAATAATTTTATATTGCATAAATATTTTTAATAAAATGCTTAAAATAAAATTAATCATTGAAGATTTTGAATTTAGAATATTAATCAAATCAAAATAACCGTACTTTCTTCTAAGTAAGGTAATAAATTAATGAATTTTCAAGGATATACTATTTGTACGATTAATAATAGTCTAGTCTTGCCTCCAAATGTGTTATTTAAGAAGAAAATTATATAAAAATGTTCTTAAAGCTGCAAGTTTTGGAAGGCAAATGTTTAAGATGTAGTACAGTTCAACAACACTTTCTTGAATCTAAATAAGCTTTCGAAGAAGTCATTGTAGCAATATGGCATATTTAAGAGCATTCACAAATCTAATTATTGTATAGGAAATTTCTACATAGTTTTAAATATAAAATATTATCTATCTAACCTATGAATACTTAATTCTTATTATAATTTATTTATTTATATTTAATAGTATAGATATCTTTAACAAAAATCATAATTTAAACTTGTTTATAGATATTTTTGATGCAATAATATTTTTTCAGTCACAAAGCAAATTTATAAGTACAACAAAAAAAACTATTTTAATTGTATCGACTATTTATAGATATTATACACCAAAATTAATATAACATTTTAGATATATTTTACAAAGTCAAAGAAACAACAATTTTTTTAATAAATAAGATAAAAAAAATTGCAAATTATTTGATAATTCAACAAAAGACTTATATATAGACATACTATTCTTTTGATATTCTGAGTCAATAAGAAAATAATTTTAAAATTGCTTCAAAATTCTATAAGAATTGTCTAAGAACTAAATTTAATTAATTTAACAGATTTAGTGTAAGAACCTCATTGTAGTGATTGAAATTGTGGCCAAAGAAAAATAAAACAAAAATAATTGTTTCATCTACTACAAATTTTGCATAGTCTTTGAGGTTATTATCAAATTGTTAGAATAATAAAATGAGATCACATGAATTTTATGTCGAGATCAAAAAATATTATTATTAAATTTAATTTAAAACTTAATTTATTTTTTTGATATGTGATAAGCAAATAAACTCAATAATAATACTTTGAATTTCATATAGTGATTTATACAAGGATCAACCATCAAGTAAAACATATGTTATATTATTTTGATAACTTATTCTTTATGTTAAAACAATGTTTATTTTATTTTTTTCATCTATGTCAATTAAAATAAAAATATATTTCTAAATAAGATAAAAAAATAATTATTTCAAAGTGAATAATTATTAATGTCTAAAAATACATTTTAAGTAATTATCAACATTTAATATCTTATAATTTAAATTAAGATTTTAAAATTATTTATTATTATTAATATTATTATACACAATGAAAAAAAAGTAAAAATATTTAAATACTTCAACATTTAACTACGATTTCAAAGTAAAATATAGATATGTAAAAAATAAGAATTATGTCTCATTTATCTTCTAGTATTGTATCGAATAAATATTAGAATAATAAATCAGTGTTTCATAATAAGGATTTGTAATATCTGCTTAAAAAGATAAGAATAAAAATACTCAAAAATAAATCTTAACAACTCGAGCAACAGCTGAGGTCACCAACGAACAGATTGAGAGAAATGGATGATATATCGATATTGGAGGAATGAAATCGAACTCTCGAAGATGTCGTTCATTGGATGCCGAGACACAAGGACCAAAGGAGGCGGCGGCGGCGGCGAGGAAGCCTGAACGGAGCGAGAGGCCGATTCGCAGGATCTGAGAGCTGCTGCAAGGAGTCGATGGAGGCGGACCCGCCGCTGCATGAGAGGGGGTGTAATGGACTGATTGGTATAACGAAAAAGCAGACAAAAGTAGTATAATATGTGAAGTTGGGCCCTCACTAATGGAAGAGGGTGAAAGGAACTGCGGCTCCAGTGCCGCGCTCGGCGCCGCTGTCTGCTCGGCGCGGTGGGGGTGGGGCACAAATTTACGTGCGGAGCTGGAGAGGCCAGCCTCGTCACGACAGTGCCTTGCCAGGCTCACTGGGATCTGGGATTGTATCTGTAACGCTGGACGGTGGACCTTTTCCTTTTGTCCTTTTTCCTTTTCGCCGGCCTCTTGGCGACAATTCACTTTTGTCCGCCGGACTCTCTTCCCTGTCCAAGGTGCGCAAAGTGGCTCTAGTTTTGGCCGAGTGGGATGCACCGGTGGGTTTCCTTGTAACGTGTCTCCGTTTTTTTGAATTGGGGTGGGACCATCTTCTTTGAGACGGGATTGGGGACGATTCCAGAAATGTTTCAGCTCATTGTTGAATTTCATGGGCTCAAGACAGTGGCGGTGGTTTTTTTAATTTGTAAAAGCTGGGACGGGAGATCGTGCTGCGAGGATAAACCCTTGTTTACTGAAGAGGGTAGTCTGGATCGATCATCGGCTGTGTGAGTGGATCTGTGAGGATACGTGGTTTGTGGTCTTTAATTGTGGCGGATACATTGTAGGTTCCTGAACAGCCTCTTGGTTTTTGCCTTTTCTTTAGAGGACAGTATGTGAGTGTCGTATTCATGAGCTTTAGAAGCTCAGTAGTTCAGAATGTCAGATCTTCAGGTGATGAGCGACCAGCTCAGGTTTCTTGCTCATTAGAGCTTGAAGTTCTTAGACGTCGAATAATAGCTGGTTTGCAGTCGTGGTTGTTTGGTGTACACATTGGTCTGGACTTGCACTCGGATAAAACGAGGTAGCCTGTGTTGTGAAAGGATATTGATGAGATACGATATGTCTTGTTTGGCTCCAGATCTATTCAACCGTGGCAGATGCGGGGGATTGCAATTAGCATCTCAGTTTGAGTCTCAGTTGTACCCACAGTTGAACGAGGAGAGGAGTCGTTATGGCCAGAAGCCATTATCAGGTTGGTGCCAACTGTCGATGAGAGTCCAGAGGAATCCTTTGTTCTGAAGACCAATGTTGCGACAACAATGAGTAACGAAGAAGAAGCATTTCGAGCCTGCCCTGATTTTTGTGCTTTAAGCATACGCCAGTTACGAGTAGCGCATAATGCTCAATTCGCTTGCCAGTAGCATTGATGCGCCTCTTGAAGGTCTTGTAAGCATCGAATCACCAGTGGTGATCCAGTGGCTTGCATGGATTTTTCACACTTAGTAGTGCTTCATGGTTCTCTTTCATTTGTCACTACCACTAAGCCTCTCGCTGGATGAGCGAAGGCAGAGAATAGACTATGTGGTACAGGTCGTACAATGGGTGATCCACATTGGATCGGTTCATGCAGCTATCAGCTATGGTGCGAAACCTTCAATGTTCTGCTGATGCAACTTTTGATTAATGTCATTCAAGTATCGGTCGATCCTGGACATGAACGAATCATTCAACTGTACTGGCGACATCGGTCTCTGGTTATTGGCTGAAGTGTGGAATGGATCTAATGCAGCTTCAGCCGTATTTTGTTGCGGTATAACCGACCCTTGAAGGCTCTGTCCTGTAATTTCCGGAAACATAATTCTTTCATTATTGTCTCCGTCAAGGAGAGCAAGGTTAAGAGCACTGGATAACTCAACGTCTGAGAGGTCGCCAGAATTCTGCTCCAAGCTTCGCAGAGGCTTGAGAAGCCTGGCCAGGATGTTGACAATGTCAGGGGCAGATCCGGATCGTGGCGCGTCGACTCCGCATTCTGAGTTCTTTGACTCCTCTGATATTGTGGGCACCCCTGGAGTCGTCCCCTTTACATGGGAAGGTGAGGCAGATCGTCGGAAAGCGCCTATCGCACACAATTTTGAGGCTTCTCTTTCTAAAGAAAACAAGAGGCCAGAGTTTGAGCAAGGTTCCACCTCAACCTGGTCCTGCGAGATCGTGGAACACACTGATGAACAGAACACTTCTGATTCTCCTGTCAAATCACATGAAAGTAACCCAGATGATCACATTGTGAAGTTGAACCTCCGCGCTAGCCTCATGGGCGTGCACATTCTGGATGATGAGACAGAGCTGTTTTTCAGCAGGCAAGTGAGCAACGCAAGCGCTCACAATTTCCAGTCTGGAGGTGCGATACCATTCATGTGGGAGGTGGAGCCGGGTCCGCCATTGGAGATGGTGACTCGATATCCAAGTAGTAATCCTCCTACCCCTCCCCCTGGAAGCAGGCCTGGCAGTTCGGTACTTTACCCTGGTCAGTTTGGATACAAGCCTACAAGCGGCATGCTCCACTATGGACAATCAAATGCTAATACTGGGAGTAGACCCACCAGTACTGCACACTACTCGGGTCAGTTTAACCTAGGACCTGATCCTCAATACGGTGGGGGAGGTACTCATTTCTCTGAAAAACTTTTCAAGAAGTTAGTAGGACAAGCAAGGACGGCACTGAATGCAAGTTCCAGCGTTCAGTATGATGGTGTCTCACTCTCGAAGTCGAAAAGGTGGGACGAAAGCTCGACCGAGAGTTTGGACCATCACCTCGGTCATTACAGTGCTGACATGAGATTTGAGGACCAGTACTCTGCGTCTCCAACAAGTACTCTTGACCACCATGGATCAGAATCTTCCCCTAACTCTGGCTCCGAGAGGTTCTATCCCTCTCGCAACCCCATCCTCGCTGCGTACTTGGATACCAGTATTCCGAACAGTCGATCTCCCTCCCAGGACACGAATAGTTCTCCCATGAGTCAACCTTGTTCTCAGCTTCCAAATTTCTTACTGTCGCTCACAGCCATGGCTGATGATACAACAGATGACGATGACATTATATTTGAGCAGCCTAGCACGACTGCTCCCTTGTCGCAGCCGGTGGCGCAAGGATCTGAGCCGCAAAAGGACTGGCCCATTGTTCAGTATCGAGGACCACCTTCAAAACCCTCACACAAGCATCCCAAAAGTAGTACAGTCTCTCCCAAAAGTGGTAGAACTATTGAGAGGTGGTCCTCGAACAGCAGTTCGTGGAACCTCTCATTAGTTTCAAAACCTAAGTCGACTGCCCCGAAGGATTCCAAATCTGGCTCTAAAAGATCAAAATCTAAGAGACATTCTTCTGGTCCGTCAAACACTGTCACTTTGAGAGAAATTCACACTGTCTCAACATACGGTCGGAGTGGAGATGCACACGGGAGGCACAAATGGGAGAGGGAGTCGCCGTCTTGTTCGTTGCCGAGCTCAGATGAGCTTGGCTTTGAGGCCTACGATCACCCTGGGGAGGTAAGTTCCATCGCGTCCTCTTCAGTCTCAGATCAAGCAGTTAGTTCTCACACATTTCATCCTGTCTACATTCTAGCAAAGTTGTAGCACCTTACAATGGATTAGCATTTTCTAACGTAGGTGTCATTTTCTATGAGCAGATGGCGCATCAGATGGATGAAGAGGACTTCCCCTTTTCACCTATTGCATCTTCATTCGTTTTCGGAGAACATAACAGCTCCGTAGAGTTTTCTCAACGTAGCGTCCGAAATGGAATTCCAAGGGCTGTTGGTCCCATTGTCCGAGAATTCTCGTCTTCCAATTTTGAGCTACATGAGCTGCACGAATGTATGTCAGTTGCAAGTGGAGATTCACACATTTATTCACTGGAAAGCGGTTTTTCACCTGAACAAGACTGGATTTCTACAAAGAGTTTTCATTACATCAAAAGCTCAAATGTTGAGATTGTGGAACTGGGAGCCTCAAGATTCAACCGATTCTTTGAAATCAATCACTCTGGTCGATTCAGCATCGACCTTCAAACGGGACCAAGGTTGGAGCGCCATCTAAGCTCGGGATTTGACATAGAAAAGACTCCTGATGTCCTTCTCAGGATCGTGGAAGAGGCCCACAGCATAAGCCAGAAGAAGCGAGATAAAGATAAATATGGATGTTTCGCTCACTGCAGATGTCTGGTATGCATCTTGTGTACTTGATGCTGGAACTTCGTATAGCCTCTGAAATTCATTGATGTCAAATGTTGGGGGTTACTAAGATGGTCTGGTAGCCACTGACACTCGACGTTTATATTTTCAAGTATCATTCACACAAAGCGCTACATGGCGTACATACAGGCGTCTTGTATACACAAAATCGATATTCGTGAGGTTGTAGTACATTTAACCCATCTTCTAATGATCTGGATGGGCGGATTTGTTTTGCAGCCGGTTCGTAGAAAAAGCTTTCTAGGCAGATGCTTAACGTCAAATCAAACCCCCAGGATTGCTATTGCTAACAGCTTTGAATCGCGATTGAAATCTCGTTCCTTGAGTTCCTTGCCCGCTGAAAACCATGAAGGCTCCTTCCAGTTCTGACTAAAATGGCTCCACCCCAATTTCATGTACAGGTAACATTTTATCAGCTTTTATTTTTCTTCTTTGGTTCATTCATTTTAAAGATAACCTAAAACTTCCTTCTCTCTTTTTGATATTTTTTTGTCTTACGACCTGCATTGTCTTTAATGATCGGTTTCGGTGTTATTGTGATTCAATATTTGATGTTTACAGCGCAAGAAAGGAAAACGCATTACTTTTATGTTGAAGCTCTTGTGGTTCTCATAGCTCAATGTTCTAAGATAGTGTACTAATTGTTATCTCCATGAATTTTAGGCAGATGAAGAAGTCAATTTGGAAGCAGGTTAGTATTCGCGCATTAACTCCATTGCGGAAATGTGGAGTTGAATTTCTTGCCTCGGGAAATTATTGGATACGGTCACGGCTGTGCTTCTTTGAGACAGAAGAAGCAACGTTAGAAGAATCAACATTACTTTTGCATGATTTAGACATCTCCAATGACAATGCGGATTTGCTTCTCATTGACACAAAAGATCCTGCCAAGTGTCAGCGTATACTAGAATTGGATGAGCCTCTGCCCAATCGGCATGCCATTTTCAGACTACGGAATTTCAGCAGATTTAGGTTAATTTTGTACACTAGAGCTTTCGTTCATTTCTCAGTTACCTGCCGACAATTCTAACGTTTCTTTAGTCATTAGTGTCCAGCTACTAATTTTTAGATTTCAGTCGATTCTTTTAGGTTTACCAATTGCCACTGTGATATCAAGTGCAGACATTTACACATTAAGTTGGCAGGTCAGTTTTGTACTCTTTCAAACTGTTTTTGTAAATTTTACCCCCTGCAGATCGGAGGTGCTCGGTTGCCGAACACCCTAGAACATTTAACCACACGCGAGTTTCCATGTGTGAACATTTCCATGATTCAGGGCATGGATAAGCATGTGTATCCAGTGCCTTGTCTGGAGAGCAACACCAAGTCTGATCTTGGCTTCAAGAAATAAGTTTGTGGGGTCCTCCAGAATTTGTGCAACTGTTAAACGGATCCTCTCTCGCTCATCCACACTGTAAATTCTAATCGAGCCCTGGGTTACTGCATATATTGCGGTGCAGCTATAGATACTTTTGAAGGAGCTACAACGCTAGTCATATCACACAGTTACGACATTCATTTTCATGTGAAGCTCATGAGCATTTCGAAATCTTCACAGATTTATTTGTTTTGTGTTCTAGAAGAATTCGGTTTGAATGATATTGCTGCTGAATGGGAATCTGTTTCCTGCATCTTTTATGCCCCACCTGAAGTACTAGAATTTCGAATGTTGGTGGTTTTCGAAAGACGCAACAGTTTTTTCGACTTTGAATAATCATTTTAAGTGCAGATCCCACAACATTCTTTAACATTGCTCTACCTTGACTCATGTGTACCCTTTATTCCATTCTACAAGAGTCTTACTTCGTCTCTTCTTTTTATCCTTTCGGAATCTTCTCCACAATCCTCCCAATACTGCAACCTAGAAGCATTTAGTCCTTGGGCTCTCGGCCCAAATCGGTTAGGTTCACTCACATTAATTAAGTTGAAGAATATAAAAATAAGTGTTATTTAAGTTGAAGAATATAAAAATAAGTAAAATTACATTCAAATAAATAGAAGGGAATAATAAAAATATAAAGAAGTGGATAATATAAAAGGTTCATGCTATAAGTCCTCCAAGTTGCTATATGCACATCTATTATGTCTACATTCATACCTAAGGCTTCTGATTGGTTCATCTAGATTATTTTTTCCATTATTGTGGCATGGATCCCACTTCTCTTTCTTCTCTCTCTTATCATAGTAGAAGTCTTAGCCTTTCTTCCTTTCTCCACCATAGGTCTTAACTTCCCTCCTTTTGTACCTTGCCTTGGCATAAACTTGTTTTTAAGTTTTTTTAAGTTTTATTTTTTATTTTTATTTTTTTTTAATCACAAATATATAATGATGGACATTGATAATGCAATTAAGTGACATGCAAGACAACAAAAGAGGTTGAATTTAAAATAAATCAACAATTTTTTCACACTTCATCTTTTGGAATTTGTTTAGAAAGTACGTATAATTAGTCAACAAACAAATACTCAATGTGATTGAATCGAGTATTGCATACTACTATTGCTACCAATTTTTCCAGAGCTTTTTTTTTATTTTGTATTTTTTTGTGTCTAGCTTCTATGTCTCTTAAACATTATAAATTATATGAAGGTCCATGTAGAAGCAGTTAAGAGATAAAGTTATTTCCATCCAAGTTTGAGAATATCAAAGTCTTTCAATAATATCAAATCCTCTCTAAGATAGAATCTCTAAGACAACAATAATGTTCCTTGATAGATTGCTCTTGTATTGAGAACAATGGGATTGAAGGCAATTTTACTGGCTTGTCTGGTTAATGATCGAATATCATTGTGTTCAATCAAGCATGATTTCTAATGGCAAGTATATTCTTGACTATATATATTTTTATATTTGACCTTTGAAATATTAATAAATACATTATATTAGCATATAATCAAAGAGTGGTTTATAATTGAAGCAATTCAAAGACTTAGAACTATTATTATGGAGTAAAAAATAGATAACATGTAAGAAAGGTAGAAGGTATCAAGGACAAGAATCTCAAAGAAAGAAAATCCTCAATACATTCTTATGCCACTAAAGAGAACTAAAAAGTCACTTAAAGATGATGTATTATTAAACTAGAATGGCTATTACCAAAAACAAGAAGACTACAAAGTCTTGAAGCAAGATTAAAGACTAGAAAGGCATTGATAAGAATAAAGAAGGTATCACTCTTTCCTTCATATATACTCTTAACTAGGAGCTATATGGCAATGTCCTATATGATCTTCAAAAAGTGTTGACTTTATAAGACATGTATCTTAACTTACAAAACAAGTTTTTTTTATATGTGTGGTACATAGTTAGCTTGTTGTACAAGCTATCAACACGTGGTGAATTTGTTGACCAACTTTCTAACCTATCAATCAACTACAAATATATATAAAGTCAAAGTAGCATGTATAAAGCTTCTAGAAAGCTTCTTTAGAAGGTTTTATGAAATTTTATCTACTTTTATTTACTTCTATCTTATCATATAGGTACTTATTAGAGTACTTATGTATATTTGTGACATTATCTTCTCTTCTAGGAATGAATTCCACATAGAGCGGTCATCATATGTTGAAGAAATCTAAGATGTGACAAATTATATTTGCCTTATATTCTAATCTTTGTTCTCTTTGAAGATGGTTGATAGGTCCTTTCAACCATCAATAGTATCCCATACTAAGGCAAAAAGATGACCTTATTATTTGATCTTTGTTGAGACTTTCGTAACTTCTTTCAAATAAAATATTTGAAACACCATCAGGAGTTGTTCCTATCTCTAATAAAATCACCAAACATCAAGAGTCTCTTCTAAGGTCGTGATACCAAACACATTGTATCTCGCCATTTATTTGAAGAAGGATATGTTATTCTTTAGGATCTCATCTTGATTTCATTGTCTTACAAGTTTTAATAATCGCAATGTCTCATCTGGTAAATTTGCAAGTAAAAGTTTTTGAGTTGAATCTGTTGGTTGTTGGCTCTTTATCTTCTTAGCGTCACAAATATACAAAAGCTATAAAGAAAGATAGAAGGTAGCGTATTATCTTCTTTTTATATTATTTCTTTTATAACAAAGATTTGCTAATCTTCATCTTAATTTTGATGGATGTTGTCAATAAAAAGCTTCAAATCTCTTTACTATATTTGTATACTTTTTGCTGGCTTTCATGTGTAATTATTAATATCATATCTATGCCAATAAATAAAATATTCCAACCTATTTTGGTACTATTTTGAATCTAAGACTTCTTCTACTTTGAATTCTTGATTATTATCCACTTTTATTGAAAGAAGTGGTTTTTTTTTTACTTCCCAAGATATTCATTGTTTTATATGGCTCCATGAGAGACACATGAAATATGGAGTGGATCTTCATAGACTTTGGTAGATATAATTGATAAGCAAGAAGATTGACTTATTTACTAATAGAAAAAGGTTCAAGCCTACGATAGTCTAACTTGTCTCAGAGATGAATAGTCTTGATATTTCATGTGTCCCTTGAAATAGAGTAGGTTTTTCTTGAACTCAAACTTGGAAGTATCATGAGACTTAGAATAATTATTCTTTATATCATGGATAAGAAGATCAGAGGACATACTTAATTGAATTTACTTAATAAATGTTGAATCAACAGTTAATGTTGATTTTGTTGCTCAAAGGTGAAAATGCTTTGGCTTCAAAAAAATTATTCTTTGTTGATCAAAAGATGCATCTATTTTTTTTGGTACAAGATAAGAACGTCTAGAAAAGGTGTCCAACAAATCTTGTTATTTTTTAGGTTGATAAGTGATCTTGAAATCAAATCTTGTTAAGAACATGCTCCAACAAGCTTAGCAATGATTTAAAATACATGTTGATATGAAATATTTGAGGTTCTTGTGATTTATATAGGATGACTGGACTCGAGGCACCTTCTAAATAATGATGCCATTCTTGAAATGAATCCATGATTACAAGTTTTTTATTGTGGATCTCATAATTAATTTTGATTGCTAAAAAAGTTTTGGAATAAAAAGCTACTTAATAGAGTTTGTCGTTTGTTTTCATTTTTTATAATACTATATCTAAGGCAAAATCTGATATATATCTTTTTATAAAAAATGCCTTGGAGAAATTAACACAATATAAGATTGGTACAAAAGTAAAGTCTTTTTTTAAAGCATCAAACAATGCTTTGGCTTCTTTACTCAACTCAAGTTGTTTTTACAAGTCAAATGTGTAAGTCAAGCTATAACTTGAGAAAAATTCTTGATGAAGGTCTGATAGTAATTGACAAAGTTAGAAAAGCATTGCATGTCTTTTTTTGTTCTTAAAATCTTCCAATCTATGATAGTCTAGATCTTCTTTGGATCTATTATTAGCTCTTCATTGGAAATGATCTATCTTAGGAAGTTAATTTGAGTAGTGTGGAATACATACTTTTCCAACTTGGGATTTAATCTTCTATTTCTAATTTTTTGTAATACACAAAAAATATGAATTTCATATTCTTTTGTATTGTTAAAATAGATTAAAATTTTATCTAAATAACATACAATAAAATCATCAAGAAATTCATGAAAGACATCATTCATTAGATGTTGAAAAGCAACTGATATATTTATGAGTCAAAAAGGCATGACATTGTATTCAAAATGTCCATACCTAATTGAGAACGTAATTTTTTTATTTATATCCTTTTTTAATGCATATTAGATTATATACTCTTTATAGATCTATTTTTGTATAGATCTTTACTTGATTTAACTGATAAAAAATTCTTGAAATAAAAAATAGATAATACCTATTTTTGATGGTGATCTTATTGAGTCTTTGATAGTCGATACATATTTATAGAGATCTATTTTTTTTCTTTACAAATAAGATAAGAGCCCCAACTAGAGATTTAAAATGATGTATGAAATTCTTAGCCAAATTTTCATCAATGTATTCTTTGAGTGCAACCAACTCGTTTTGTCATAGGTTATAGAGTGATCCAAATGGTGGTTGAGCACTTTCATGAAGATCAATGGAACAATCTTAAGATTGATGCTTTAGAAGAATATTTGCATTCTTTTTTTCAAAAATATCTTGAAAATCTTGATATTAGTTAGGAATACCACTTGATGTCTTCTTGCCATTAAAAATGAGCATGGTATATAAAGAAAAAGATAACCCTTCTTTTGCGACATGCATAATAGCTTTTGTACCTACTAATTAGAGTTTGGATGTATTAGACTTTTGTATTTTTATTTCACTAACGAGATT